GGAAGTTAGGGGCTGGCCCCGTGGCCGAGTGGTTAAGTTCGCGTGCTCCGCTGCAGGGAGCCCAGTGTTTCGTTGGTTCGAATCCTGGGCGCGGACATGGCACTGCTCATCAGACCACGCTGAGGCAGCGTCCCACATGCCACAACTAGAAGAACCCACAACGAAGAATATACAACTATGTACCGGGGGGCTTTGGGGAGAAAAAGGAAATAATAAAATCTTTAAAAAAAAAAAAAAAGGTGGAAGTGAGCCCCCCAAGGTGGTGGAGGATGGGGCTCCTGGCTGGCAGGGGACAGAGGGTCCGGTTCTCCCACAGCAGCATGCTCCAGTGTCTGGGCCTGAGCATCACAGGCAGTGGGGTTTCCACGGCAACAGTCGAGGGCGGGCTTACTGATTGTCCAGGTGACTGTTAGTGTTGTCCGTGGCCATGGGGCATCCAAGCTTGGTCCCCTGGTGGTCCTGGCATCTCAGTCCTAGCACCTATGAACAGATTCCCCTCTGCTCGAACCAGAAAGAATGGATTCTGTCGTCTGCAACTAATCACTGAGACTGGCACAAGTTCAGATTCTGAAATCACCTCTATTGTTTGTCTCGTGTGAAAAAAATACAGGAAAGTTTAAGAAAAATAAGTAAAAATCTTCTATAATCCCACTGCCTGGAAGTAATCACTGTAATATTTTTGCATGTTTCCTTCCGGACTTTGCATTCTATCCATTTTGTTATATGGTCAAAATGACGGTTTATATCATCCTATGCCAGCTTTGCTCACTCAGCAGGTAGTGTAAAAGCGTCCCAGTCACCTTGTCCACGAGGCCTGCAGCAGCTTTCTAAACTAAGTCAGTTTCCTCTTTACCCACTCTTACTTTTTTTAAACCATGTTCTTGAGGTATAATCGACATGCAAAAGCTGTGCATATTTAACACACACAATATGATGACTTTGGAGATGAGTATTCATCTGTGAAAGCATCACCACCATCTATGCCATGAACGTATCCATCACCTCCAGAAGTTTCCTCCACCCTTTTTATTTATTATTGTGTGTGTGTGTGATAAGAATATCTAACATAAGGTTTACCCTCTGAGCAAAGTTTTAAATACAACACCCAGCACTAGTACCCAGAGGCACAGTAGCTCTCCAGGACATGCTCACCTTGAGTAACTGACACTGTACCCTTTGACTGATACCTCTCCATTTCCCCTTGCCCCAGCCCCTGGCAACCACCACTCTACTCTCTTCTTCTGTAAGTCTGACTGTTTTACATGCCTCCAGTAAGTGGTATTACGTAGTATTTCTCCTTCTATGTCTGCCTCCCTTCACTTAGCATAACGTCTTCCAGACTCACCCAAGCTGTTAGAATGGCACGATTTCTTTCTTTGTTCAAGGATGAATAATATTCCATTGTGTGTGGCTAGTGGCTACCATGTGGGAACTCACAATTCTAAGACACAAACTAAACATCAAGAGCAATTGCCCCAGGACAAATTAAGACAAATATCAAATGATCTGCAACCCAGAACAACATAGGGACATTAAAAAAGCCCTAAATATTAAGGACTGTGGGCCTTATTCTTCGTTCATCCAACAAGCATTTATTAACTACCTTCTATGAGCAGGTCATAGGCCTCAACATCAGAGAGGACACAAACAGCCCGGGAGAGGCACATCCTATTTCATTTACTAAGTACAGAATGAATTCAAGGCAACTCGAAATTAAGCGTCAAATAGCGTAGAGAAGGCTAACTCCAGCCTCTAGTGGCTGTGCTTCAAAATTCCACTTGCAAGTCAAACACACTGGACATAAAATGCATTTCCCCACAGCGGCAGTTTGTAGAGCATGGTTAGGTGTTTAAATTGGCTCCTAAAAGTTGATTGGATCCATAATAAAACTGAAATATTACAGAGTTTCAATTTTAAGTCTAAAATCAAAACCATGAGTTTTGTTTTTCCAACAGCGTAACATTTGAATAAACATACTCAAACATGTTTGTAATGGACACACGGTCCTTAAGGCCTTCAGCAGGGCTGACCAGGCTTAAAGCTCAGCCTTATTTAAGCCACTGGAAGTCTAAAAGGAGGAATAAGCTGGAATGCTGACCTCAAAGCCAGATGCACTGTGGGCCTAGGCTGACGAGTGATCTTCAGCCCAAAGAGGAAACTCTATTTTCAGACTTTCTTCCTCTCGGAGTCAAAACACTTTCCCTCTGATCAAGAGGTGAGATGAAGAGGAAAACAGAAGTCCTGACAACATATGGGGGATCTGGATTCCTAGGTGGGGATGAGCAAGTAAGGGATGCCACAACATAAAGGGAGAGGCAGGATACAGCAGAGTGAGTCCCAGAGCCAGCAGGGGGCCAGCCTTGCTTGACTGGGGAAGGGAAGGCAGAGGGACTAAGAGTAAGAATAACGGGGCTGGAGGGAGCGTTAGTGCTAGAGGTACTGAGTATTTAGGGACAAGGAGAACTGAATGGAGAGGCTCAGGATAGCATCCTCATTTGAATCTAAAGGTCCCATTTAAGGGCATTTGAGAACGGAAAACTGCTGCTGCTAATGATGATGGTGATAATGGTGATGACAGATAGCACCTAAGAGTTGACATTTACCATTTTCTACATAAGACAAACTGTTCAAAGTTATTCACATATATATTGTTATGTAATCCTCATTTAAGGGCAAAGGTCTCCATGCAGTGGAGAGTTCTGAACAGAACCCTGAGGAAAGAGTCGGAGAGCCAGAAAGGAGGGGAGGGGACTTGCCAAAGAAGGAAAACAAAACACTTGTTGGCACTTTAACTTTATCCAATATACTCTGTCAGTTTTAACAACCACTCCTTTCTTATTCGGTCTCAGACCAAATAACTAAGACTACACCTGTCTTTCTAAAACCAAGAGCCAGACTCTCACTGGAGGCTCAAACAATATTTGTAGATAACGATAATGACACGCTTTTAGAGCCCAACAAACCTGAGTTCAAGTCACAGTCTGAGGCTCTTAATAGTTCTTAACCGTTAGTAGTTGACCTTGGGCAAATTATTTTTTAACCCTTCTGAATGCTGTCTTTATCATTCTCACAAAGGAGAATGAGCTAAAAAAACTATCAAAATGTCCTAAGTATCCACTTGCCCACCTCTCACAAACCCACTTTCTCCTTGCCAGAAAGCTCCACAGAAAGCAAAATAATCCCTCTCCCAAAAAAACAAAAACAAAAAATCCTCATCACACACTTACCCTCTTATGAGAAATCAGGAGAACTCAGCATGACCCACCAACAGGAACTAAGATTGGTACTGCGACACTGTGCCCCTTTCTCACCCTCCCAATGTGAGAGGAGTCACAAACAGAAGCTGTGCCCTGCTCCCTTCCGTAAAGAAAGCCCAGCCTGACTCTGGCCTCAAACTGCACCAACCACTCCTGAGGATGCAGAGGATGTCTCGAATTTACCCAGCCCTCCCAAGGTGATAACAGCTACCATCTACCATGCACGCAAAAGATCCAGTTTGAAACTGAGGATTTCAAAACAAAGTATCGAAATAGCGTCAGCATGGTCTCCGTGAGGTGGGTCATTTACCAACTCTCTGACTCCTTTTCACTCCCAGGAACATCGCAGGATCCACGATATTGGAAAAAATGGAGGTATGAACAATACAAACTAACAAACAGCACAACATTCCCCTAAGTCCTCTGGCTCTGGAACACGTGACATTCACAGAGGTTGTCTCTCCAGCTCTGGGTCACCCAGAGCAGTGCAGCCTCATCTACTCACTTGCAGCTTGGGCTTGGCTAGAAAGACCCCATCACGGTGCCCATGGCGTGCAACCGTCTAGCTGCACAGGGCCCCCACAGGCAGAAGGGCCCCACACTTGGTTGTTGTTGCTGTCTTGAAATTCTTGACAATTAATCATTATTAATAATTCTTAACAAGGGGCCCTGCATTTTCATTTATATTGGGTCCCATAAATTACGTAGCTGCTCTGGTACTGCCTGACTCAGAAGAGGAGTTCAATTCACAGCAGCAACTTGTCAGCTGTGGGGGCAGCCAACACACCAGGTGGCTTAGGGACAGAACTAACAACTAGTTAGAAAACAGACTAGTTTTCATCCTTGGGAAGGAAGGACTTGACCCCACACTACTCCCTCAAAAACAAAAACAAAGTGGTGATTGCAATTCCATTTGAAAGATGGAATAATTAAGCCAATTAAGCCTAATTTCCACTGGTTCTATTACCCCAGGGGGTAAGCCATCGGGTGCTCAATGAGGGAGACACTAGGTGGTAGTGCTGTTAGTTCCAGCCACCCAAGGAGGGTTGGGTTAGGAGGCAGCGCACAGCAACCACTTCCAGCATAAAGGAAGAAGCACAAGGAGGCACACTCACATCAAGGAGTCAGTCACCCTAAGTAGAAAACGCAGGACATGAATGAAGGTCAACACCCAGGGTCAACCAAAAATTCAGTGAGGAGAAGCACTTCCGTGTGTGTGTTTTACAGAAAAACTGAGCATCTAAGACTTACTTTTTTAAAAATTAGAGACTTTTTTAAGAAGTAACAAACCACTTCTAAATTCTTTCTTCTGGTTAGGACAATTCTTCACAGGAAACCAAAACTCTTATTCTAACACTTAAACAAGTAAAACTGCTATAACTGCTTTCAATTCTTTAGTTTATCTAAAGATTTCAACAAATGGCGGGGGCACGAAGTGCAGACCCTCCCCCGCTGCTGCAAATGCCCCGAACACCCCAACCCCCAAGGAAGGCAGAGCCAGGGCTCCCTGTTACGCCCGCAATTCCAGAGAGGAATTTCAAAGGTCAGGTCTCTAGCACCATCAGGAAACTTGGGTAACAACTTGAGAGAGAAAAGCCCCTGACGCTGGAAATCTAGGGCCAAAAACAGCAAACTCAATCAGGTAAAAGTCAACCAAGTTAATCACAATGAAGCAATTCAAATTAGCTTTTCTTTCCAATGGTTCTAAAAAACAGACACTTTAGACAGGGTCCCATTCATTACCTGCCATATTCCAAAAGTGTAGCATGGATTCGAGATTCTTCATCAAGCAGCTCCTCTGCTCCCTGCTGGCGTTTGTATTTCCGACGGGGCTTGTAAACATCCTAAGAAGTGGAGGAGACAGGGGAGTTACTGCCTGTGAGAAGGCTCCCCTCCTGAGCTGGCTGCCAGATGCGTCCAGTCAGGCAGGGAGCGAGTCCTTCCCCATCACTGCGAGTGCGCAGCTCTCCTGCGGGTCCACAGGGCACACTCAGGGTCACTACCTTCAAGGAGTCTGCTCCTTTGACTTCCGTACAGGTAGAAGTATTTCCACCCAATCTACTGTGTGCCAACTTTGTTTCAACTTGGCAGGTTTTTTTGGTCCTATGACATTTTCATATTTTATGTAGTCAAAGTTATTAATCATTTTATATCTTACTTCCTATCCTAGGGATTGTGAAAAAAATTATGGTATCTTACTTTTGTAATTTATATTTAGGTCTTTCATCCATCCAGATTTTCTTTTTTGTGGTACAGTGAAAGGTAGGGATATTTTTTCCTGAATGGAAAATTAAGAATCCCAGCATTATCACTCTAATAGTCATTCTTCCCTGATTTGAAATGGCATGCATATTTAACATATGCCAATATTATCCTCTTCAATTGCTCTTGCTTTATGAGTCTCTATCATGTCTCCACTGTCCTTTTTCAAATTTCCTGACTATTCTTACACATTTTCTCTTCCAAATGAATCATAGTATCAGCTTGTCAAGTTCATTATGGACAACTATTGTTTTGATTAGTATCATCTCAAATTTATAGGTTTCTTCGGGAAGAACCAACATCTTTATAATATTGAGTGTTGCACTGAGAAACAAGGTTTCTCTCTCTATTCAAATCTTTTTTATTCCTTAATAAAATTTTCCAGACACTACATATCCAGACCTTTCCACCACCCAGAGTGGCAAACCAGTTCAACAATCACAGACATATATATGTTAACCCAGAATCCTTAAAAAAAAGTCCTGAAATGGCAAAGGAGATGTCAATTCTTAGGCTCTAATACAAGAAAAGGAGAGTGGATACAAATCCTTCAGAGATACGTATCTTTTTTTATAAAAAGGTTTCGAGGTTTATCCTCAAAAAAATGTACAAAAACATAAAATGCGCTATAAATTTTCACTGACTTTTTAAATTACTATAGTGTCATTTAGTTATAAATGCAGAAGAAAATATAGATCTATTTTGTGTAGGACACCTTCTGAAACTATATATCTATATATATATCTACATGTACATCTCTTTTATATATATATCTTTTCTCTTTCTCTCTCTACCTATCTTCTAAACAAAGCAAACGGCATGTAACAGGTGCTCAATTAATGTTTGTCTTCACCTCCAGATAACCTGGTTTGTCATTCTACCTCAAATAAATGTCCTTGTTGACTGCCAAGCTAGCAGTCAAATAATACCTTAGTAATATTTTCTCAAGGCTCTGGGTACAAATAGGCAGCTGTTTACACAACCAAGGTATTCCATTTGTTTCTGGACCTTTTCTTCTCCACCACCAGAGTTCAACACATCTAATCTTTACCCGGACAACACCAAGACAAGTGTTACTGTTAGGCTTCTCCAGATAGTGGCATTTTTATTCTAATTAGAATTGTTCCCCCCTTGATAATTCTAGTTAATTTTATTATTTTACTTTTTATTATGAAAAGTTTCAAACATACAGAAAAACATTTGTTCTACAACACATACTACAGAATCTCAACAATTTTGTAGAAAAGGAATGGAAAAGAGTCTGGGATGATGCTGAAGGTTGTTCTTATAATTGCTGCCACAAACATTCCCTAGTTTGCTGCTAGTGTCTACATGAACAGGAAACTATAAATAACATAAAACAGATTTATAGGGAAAGGAAAATATAATTAACCCATATGATGTCACTTACTGTGTATGGTTTAATTTCCACTGAGCTCGACTACTGTAGCAGTGCCATATAATTGAGCTTAACTGCTATCTTCCTTAGTTACCACAGTCAACGACCTGAGACAGGAAACTGGATTCTTCCAAAGAAGACTGACTCCAAAACGAGAGCATACTGACACCAACAGCTACAAAGACCTTCTATTCCGGCAAACAATGACAACGTTGGCCTTTATGTAATCACTCCTTATACTTTAAAGCACCTCACCTTTTGCATTTTATAATTACTCTATGAAGTACAGGCAAGGCAGATGCTGTTACCTCCACTTCACTACTGAAGAAGCAGAGATTAAATAACTTGTCCAGGATCTCTAGAATAGTATCAAGCGTAGCCCTAGGTACCCTGGCTGCCAGTCCCAAGGTTTTTCCACTACACTAACTTGCCTCTGGTGGGCATTCTAGTCCCCCACCAGCCATTTCCGCTGAGCCCCCTCACAAGACTCACTACACAAGGTAAGGCTGCCACATGGATCGTTACAATGGTTTGCTTAGGGACCTAAGTGTTATAGAGGTTTCCAGGCCAACTGTAAAAAGAACTACTGCCAAGTCACCCTTCGTAGCAATAGGAGTCAGGAACACTGATGTCTAGTCCCATCTCTGCCACTAACTAGCTCTATGACCTTGGGAAAGGCAGTTCCCTCTCATTGGGCCTATTTCTTCATCTGTAAAATGAAGGTTGGACTAACAGATCTTGAAGGATACTCCCAGTCTCTCATTCTTTATGTTCTTTTAATCCTGCAAAAATACTGATGTGGTAACAAAATTCCATCAATAATTTAAAGTCTGTAATTAATTAAAAAAATGCTTTACACTTGATTGTGTTTTTAAAAAAGAAACAAAATCAACTTATCTTTTGCCATTGATAGTGGGAGCAATAGTAATGGCAAGCATTTATTGAATGCTGGGTGTGTGCCAGGTGTATACTGCTCTCTATGTGCTGCTCATTTGATCCTCACACCTACGAGGGTAGCTATCCTTGTTTTCCTTGTACAGATGATGAAACAGGCACAGAGAGGTTAAACAGCTTGCCCGTGGGGACAAAGGTGGTAAATGATAGAGGCAGGATCACTCCAGAACTGGGACTCTGCAAGGTGATTGATACCCCAACTTTGACCACACGTCATGGTGGGTTCTGATCATTTGTCTCAGTAGATGCTAAAGGACACATGCATGCGATTAAAAAATTAAGGGAAGTCCTTTGTAAAGCAGAGGTTCTTGCACTGTGAGAGTCACACATCTCTATTTAGCAGGTTCACCGGTGAGAGCAACTCCTCTGAATCACATCCAAACACCAGGGTGAGGGAGTAGCAGAGCACAGCGCCACGGCAGTGTCTGTGGCAAAGCCCTGACTGCTGCCCCTCACAACTCCTTTATGACCTAAAGGAGCAGGCAGTGAAACAGTCACTACCAACTGGGCATCCTACACTCCAAAGCTCCAGTGGGCCAGACCACACCCAACCCGGCAGGAAGCCACACTCCTGGGTTGCCTCCACTGACCTTAACAGCTCACTGTCACAGGGCTCAACAGGCCAAATCCATAACAGACACGCCTCAGCCCGTGAGCCCCGTGAACAAACTGGCTTCCACCTAAAGGGGCTCCACAGACGTTTCCACCACCAAGGGCAAAGTCCTGAAAGATCCCATGAGAAAAAGTTATAACTGAGACAAATACATTTGTTTGCTTTTTCATTCTCACATTAATAAAACAACAACAAACAGAACAAAGCCCCTGGGGACTGAGCGAAGGAAATGATGAGAGATGGACGGACGGCGATCATTTCTGAAGAGAGGAACATGTCTATAGACAGGAAAGTTAGCTGGGGAGGCAGACTTCTCCAGACACCCCAAGCCTTAATTCTTTTCTCTTCTCTTTTACATGAGCCCTGCAGGCATGTCTTCTGCTCTGAGGTCCAGCACAAGTCCCCCCTCGGGTCTCCTTGAGTCTGTACCAAACAGTATAACTTAGTAAATAAGAATCAGGCCACTGCATTATATATATGAGCCACAGATGGCTTCTGCATGTTGGCTCCTAGGTTTATTTCTTCACAGCAGTCTGAGACCTGTTGGCTCAAAAGCCTGCCAGTGCCAAACTCAAATTTTTACACAGCCAATTGTCTTAAACATGGCCCAAATAAGCAGACTCTTAGCCACTTACAGTCTGGGTACATTGCATACCCTGTGAAACTGCACCTAGCATGTGCTAACCAGGCAGGATAAGTCCTGGGGCTATAAAGAACCCAAGCCCTTCAAACACCTCTAACCCAGAGACTTCCCTTTGTGCTGCTGGGCAACATCACCTAGACACTGAAACTTCCTCTGTGATGCCCTCTGGGGGAGCCCCTTCTTCTCTTCCCCTTCTGGATGGTGGCCCCTGTGCCTAAGCCTCTGGATGGCCACACATTGTGAGAGACTCCCTCACTGCGCATGCAAACCTGTCAAAGCACAGCCCAAATAAAGCTTGTGTGCGCTACTGCCACCTTGTGGTCCCCAAACCCCGAAATCTCTTACTGGAATGTCCCTGCTTTTACTCCAGCTCCTGGAATGTGGTCTGGCACACAGTGAGTGCTCAATTACTATTACTGAATGGTTGCCTGGCCCCGTGGCCGAAAAGTTAAGTTCGCGTGCTCTGCTTCAGTGGCCCAGGTTTTGCTGGTTCGGGTCTTGGGCGCGGCCCTAGCACTGCTCATCAAGCCATGCTGAGGCGGCGTCACACACAGCAGAGCCAGAATGACCTACAACTAGAATGTACAGCTATGTACTGGGGGGCTTTGGCGAGAAGAAGAAGAAGAAGAAAAGACTGGCAACAGATGTTAGTTCAGATGCCAATCTTAAAACATATATATTATTGAATGAATACATGGGGTCAGACAGATAAGGTTTTAGTCCCTGCTCCAATACTCACTACCTGTCTGATTTAGGGCGAGTTATTTTAACCTCTGGTTTTCTATCTGTAAAACAGGTATAAGTAAAGTTATTGTGAGGATTAATCAATCAATATATTTAACGGTATCTGACAAATAATAAAGGATAAGACATATATTTTTTGCATATTTTTATCAGACATCTGCTGAATGAAGAGGCCCTCCTCACAGAATGCCCTACGGAAGAACACAGTGGAGTAGTAATTTTAAATGAC